CTTCTTCCTATCATAAGCAAGGTTTTTGAATCTTTAATTAACAAACACTTAATCTCTCATCTCGAATCTCATAACCTACTTTCTGATCATCAGTATGGATTTCGATCTTCTTGTTCTACGGCTGATTTGCTGTCAGTAATAACTGATAGGTTTTATCGCGCATTAGATAAAGGTGGAGAGGTTAAGGCCATTGCTCTTGACATTTCTAAAGCGTTTGATAAGGTTTGGCATGCTGGTCTTCTCCATTAGGTTTCTTCTTACGGTGTATCTGGAAACATATTTAAGATTATTGAATCCTTCCTTTCCAATCGTAGTATAAAAGTTGTCCTTGATGGACAGCACTCTTCTTCTTATTCTGTAAACTCAGGGGTTCCTCAAGGTTCAATCGTTGCCCCTATACTCTTTTTAATTTATATTAACGATCTTCCAGATATTCTCACACCTAAGGTGGCATTGTTCGTTGGTGATGCTACCATTTATTCTTGTCACGATAAGAAGCCAACTCCCTCTGATTGCTTGTAGGGGGCATCTGAGTTTGAAAAGGATCTCACTTCTGCTACAGCATGGGGCTCACAGTGGCTGGTGAATTTTAATTCAGATAAAACTTAATTTTTTCAGCAAATCGTTATCGCAATAATTTAGACCTTCCTATATTTATGAACGGTAATGTACTCGATGAGTCTCCTACCCTTAATCTTCTAGGATTAACTTATACTTAGGATCTTTTTTGGAAATGTTGTATCAAATCCGTTTCAAAATTAGCATCTGCTAAATTTGCTTTTTTTTATCGAGCTCGTCACCTTCTTACTCTGGATTCTATTCTCTATCTCTATAAATCTCAAATCCGGCCTTGTATGGAATACTGTTGCCTTATCTGGGGTGGATCTTCTAATGATGCTTTTTCTCTTTTAGACAAGGTGCAAAAACGCATTGTAAACATAGTTGGACCTGCTCTTGCAGCCAACCTTCAACCTCCGTCACATCGTCGTAATGTTGCTTCTCTTTCTCTTTTCTACAAATACTATAATGGGCACTGCTCTAAAGAGCTAGCGTCTCTTGTGCCATCTACTAAAATTCATTCTCGTGTTACTCGTCATTCAATTAAGTCTCATCTTTTTTCTGTTACTGTTCCTAAGTGCTCCAAAAACTCTTATTTGTATAGTTTTTTTTCCTGGAACATCGTTTCTTTAGAATTCGTTTCCTTCATCTTGCTTTCCTGATTCATATAATTTGCAATCTTTTAAGTCGTCTGTCAATCGTTATCTTGCTCTACAATCTTCATCTTTTTTCTTCCAGTAACTTCCAACAATAATTAGTGGTTGCTTGTAGCCTTGTTGGAAACGAAGATGTTAAAAAAAAAAAGTTCAATATGAATTGTATCCTTTTTGCTATAAAGAAACCGTGGATCGATGAAGGATATGACGGCGGCATATTTCATGACAAACATAATCTATAATTAAACAATGCTAAATAATCTATAATTAGATTTTTTTTTATTTTTACCGAATTTTACTTTTGCTTATATTAATTTGTTAACATGACTCTTTTCACTCTACCTCTGATATGAGGCTACATTAAATAAAGTTTTAAAACAATTAGAAAACAGTTAAATAGGAGAAAACGGGGCAACATGAAAGCCCTAAGTTATTGCAAAACTATCAATCGTGAAGCAATAATACTTTCTCAATAAGTTTATGTTATTAAAATGATTCATTGCCTGCATGAATTTTCAGTTTGCAAATATAGCAATTTGAAATAAATATTAAAATAAAAAAATTCATAAAATTGTCATCTGTTCACGTGACCGGGGCAAAATGACTTATTATGCAATTTTTGCCTCCGATTTTAACTACTAAAGTAACACAAAATAAATACAAATCGCAAAAAAGTACTTTTAAAGAAGTTAAACTTGAAAGACTCCATCTACTATGATAAACCGAAACTGAAGAATTTTTTTTTAAGCGCAAAAAGTAAACTTATGCCTAGTAGATAGCGTTAAAAATATTTAAAAAACTTTTGGTGTTTTAAAATACAAGATGCAAATACAGTTTCGTTTTCACCCAATTTTAAATTTTTTTGTTGATTTGTTATATAAAAACTCATCTTGCCCCATTCACAATGTTACCTCCGCTTTCCCCTAAATATTGTATGTTCTAGGAAACTATTAAATAATCTTGTTGAAAAATGGGCAACGTTGAAAAAAAAATAATGATAGAAAAAGCAACGGAGCAGAATTAGCTAGAAACATCTTTTAAAAAAATGCTAACAAATTTTTTTGGATTGGAAAACCTGATACTTGCTTCATTTAGACATTCAAACCTACATTCTTCACCTTCATTCATACAATTTAAATAAGCAATTTTTAAATGATCAAATAACAAAACGTTAAATGGCACTTGGTTCAAAGGGTTTAGCATATTACCAAAAGCTGAAAAGAATAGAATGATAAAAGAAAGAAGATTGCGATATTTAACATTTATTGAGCAACAAAACGTAAAATGACACTTGGTTCAAAGGATTTAGTATATTACCAAAAGCTGAAAAGAATAGAATGATAGAAGAAAGAAGATTGCGATATTTAACATTTATTGAGCAACAAAACGTAAAATGACACTTGGTTCGAAGGATTTAGTATATTACCAAAAGCTGAAAAGAATAGAATGATAGAAGAAAGAAGATTGCGATATTTAACATTTATTGAGCAACAAAACGTAAAATGACACTTGGTTCAAAGGATTTAGCATATTACCAAAAGCTGAAAAGAATAGAATGATAGAAGAAAGAAGATTGCGACATTTATTGAGCAACAAGAGGATTAAACAGAGAAAACTGAGTTTTGATCATCAGAACAAAGTGAGGTTTCTTCTTGTCAGAATTCCGACAATTCACCAGACGTAATTAAATCAGGTACTAGTGCTTCAACAGTATTACCTAAAAAATTTGCAAAAGAAATTGCAATTACAGGTGTTTCTAAGAATATTTCACCTAGAAATATGATGCACTTGCTCTCTGACATACTAATTACTTTTGGGGGCAGTAAAACGTACTGGAAAATCTCATCATGATACTTTAATAAACATTTTGGATGAATATAAGCTAAGAGCTTATATAGAGGGTCAGTGCTTTGATACAACTGCAACTAATACAGAAAAATATTCCATGTCGAAGACAAGTTTACGAGCTTCACTGTAAACATTTTTGGAAAAACTTCAATTGGAACGCAATAAAGGAAACTATGGATAAATCAAAGTTCAAAAATTGACAAAGCTGCAGTTAAAAGAACGTATCTAGAAAAACAGATCGAAAAAACTGTTCAATTTTGAAAATATGCACTTGCCTTTTTAGTATTTCCAAGAGATGATTATAAAGAACTAGTAGAGCTTTCACTCATCTACTTATGTTCAGATGTAAGCTTTAATTTTTATGCTCCTGGATCAGTTTCCCATGCTCATTTGATGGCAAAGTCTATATATTATCTTAAAATTCAAGTTTTAAATAATCAGTTGCCCTACCAATTGACAGCTTGTTTACAAAAAGAAATCAGTAAAATGGCAGAATTTATTTCTATATTTTATACTGTGTGGTTTGCGCGTTCTTCTTTAGTTTCCTATGCACCTCTTTCAAGATATAAAAGCATACTGTCAGATGGTCCAGTATAAACGTTGGGTAGAATCTTATGATGCTATGAGCTAATGATGTACTAGAGGAAATTAAAGAAGTATTGAAATCAATTGAAAGACATACGTGGATCAAACCTTGATTCCGTTATGTCTCGCAGATAAAGAACTTGAAGATGATGAGAAAGAAAAAGTTGCAAAAGTTCTTTTTTCGCAACGTGTTCCTACTCACTATGAGAAGTCTGAAAATCCAATCCTTATGTAAGATCTAGACTTCACCCAGAAGAAACCACCTAGCCTGTCACAGTTGGTTGGTAGGAACTAGTGATTTGTTTTCAATTTGTTATATTTTAGTAATAACGATGATAAATCTTGCCTAAACTGTCCTTCATCTTTTTTGGGCTTTATCTACCACTTCAAAACTTTCATTGAACTTGTTCGCCGAATATATGCCGTCAACGTTTGCTTTGTACGAGCAACTAAGCTTGTGTCAGAGTTTGTTAATTCTGTTCACAATGAAGAGGACAGGCAAGATTTAATGTTGGCCGTTCATCATAGTAGGGATCAATTCAGGAAAATTGAAAAAGTACAAACTACGGAGAGTGGCAAAAAAAATTGGCGTTGATAAAGCATAATTTTGAGTATATTAATTCAATTTTTCACCAAAAACACGAAGAAAAGTTTGTTGAGTTATACTTTTACAAATTGTTTTTGAAGAAAACTTTTTCTTAATTATTTACTAATTTATCACTGTTGACCTTAACAATATCGTTATATATTTTTTATTAACATCATTAATCTTAATGATTAATGATGTTAATAAAAATATATATATATATATATATATATATATATATATATATATATATATATATATATATATATTTATATATATATATATATATATATAAATATATATATATATATATATATATATATATATATATATCTATATATATATATATATATATATATATATATATATATATATATATATATATATATATATATATATATATATATATATATATATATATATATACATATATATATATATATATATATATATATATATATATATATATATATATATATATATATATATATATATATGTATATATATATATATATATATATATATATATATATATATATATATATATATATATATATATATATATATATATATATATATACATATAAAGTTAATTATAAAAATTGTAAACCGTGTTTAAGAAGAGATAACTATAGGTTTTATTTTGTTAAATAAATATTTAGTAATTGAATTTATAGTAAAAAAATTTATTCTGTTAAAATAAACATTTAACATACAATTTTAAATAAACAAATAAACATTACTTATAGATTCAGTAGATAAAAAATAAATAGTTTTAACTGGATTTACTTTACTCGACATTAGTTCTTGAAAATTTAATTTCGTTTTAATGCAGTTCGTTCAATCTGTTTCTGACTAAAAGTTTTTATTTTATTTCACAGTGAGTAGTAATTTTATTTTATTTCACTATCATAAAATGTTAAAAACGTAAATTTTAAAGTTTGTTTTTAAATTTTTATATTAAAGTTCTTAATTTCAAAAAATATTTTCGACTATAACTCATGTTACACTTTACCAATTTTAATGTTAACTTTAAGCTCAATTTTATGAGGACTTGTTATGATTAAAGATTTCTTCTCTATAATTACTGAATAATTACAGAGAAGATTATAGAGATATAATAAAAGAGTTAAAGGTTAAAATTTTTTTCTTTTATTTTATTTCATTTTTTTATATAAATACTACTATTATCTATTTATATTATTCGTAATTTTTTGAAAATGTTTTTTTGTCTTCGTTTACTTTATTATCTATTTATAGTGTTTGTACTTTTACAAATGTTCTTTTTGTTTCTGTCTACTTTCAAAATTTGGAAAAGCAGTTTTTAGTGGCCTTAAGTAGTTTTTGTTTATTGCTAAAAAAGACTTTTTCTTGGAAATTGAAAGTACAAAAAACTGTTGAGATGTATTCTGATGAAAGAAAGTTTGAAACAAATGTATCAATAAAAACGTATGTCTTTTACATTAGTATTTCACATTTGCTAAATTATTAAATTTGAAATTTTATCTAACTGCAAAACAGATGAAAGGGGCGTACAGAGACTTTGTAATGCCTGGGGGTAAATAACATTTGAATGCCAACCCCCTCATCCTCAAAAAAAGGAATAAATTTGATACATGAATTTTGATTTGGTATAAGAAAATACAATGACCTTAAAATTTTGGTTTTTTATTATCTCAGGATTTTTATCACTTTTATTTTCATAAAAAAGACTTTTTTTAAAACTATTATTAATTATGATTTAGTTACTGGTATTAAAATTCATTTAATTATAGTTAATGCACTTTTTAAAGTTACTGTTGAAACTAAACTGAAAGTTCATAGTACATTGTTTATTATTAAAGAAAGGAAAGAAAATTTAAATTTAAAAAATCTCATTAGCTAAACAGACTTTTATTGCGTGCTTGTTGCCTCACCAAAATGTTTATAACAGTTACAAAAAACTTGGATAAACTTATTGCAAAGCATTTTGCAAACGATAATTTTATTTTAAACTGCTAGTTTTTTTTTTTATTTACTAATTCTATAGAAACATTTTATGTTTATTTTATAGAGATTACTACTAAGGGCAGGATATGATACATCCATTGTAAGAAATAATTTCCTACCTTTTAAGGTAGAAATTTATAACTTTGAGGTAGAAAATTGTATGACAAATGATTGTTTTTAATATAATTTTCTACTTTAAAATGTAGAAAATTATGCCTTACCAAGGGTAACATAGCCTACCTTGAGGTAGAATATTTCCCTTTTTTTGTAGAAGAGCTAATCATTCACCGAGTCGGTGAAGCCATTAACTGAATCTGCTACTCTGCTAAACGGGGCTTTTTGGTAATCTTAATTTTATTACAGCATACTACCCAACTAAGCTATCCTGGCTCTGTCGAACTACTATAGTATTAAGTTTTTGAAGTATCTAGCCTATACCTCAGGTGTAAAGTTTAAGCTTACACACTAAAAAACAAAAAGAAAATTCTACCTTAGGGTCGGATAATTGTGAGACACTTAGTAGAAAGGTGGAAAATTATACCTTACTAAGGGTATACCACATATCCTACCTTAAGGTAGAAATTTTAACCTTTTTTTAAATATGTATTATTAAAAAAACAACAGTCTTATTTAAAAAATGTAATTTATACAAAAAATAATATTCTTAATCCGACACCATCCCGACCTCCAACTTTCACATGCACACTCACAAATAATAAAAACTAGTTTTACAATAAGAAATGACATACTTGTGAATCGTTATATACAAAATAATTATGTTTTGTATTTATGAACATTCTGTATTAATTAATTAATATAAAAAAACTACAAATTCAAAAGGTTTATTATGTGAAACATTTAAAGATTCTTGGTTATAATGTAAACTCAGACCCAAACTACTAAAACTCATACTCAGACTCAGAATTTTCCTTTAACCATATAATCTATTTTATCAAGTAATTCTATTAATTCCTTTCTTTTGTTTTAAACCATAGATCCTCTTTACCACTATTTAGATTTGTGATTTGACCCCGGACATCGATACGATGTATGGCAATTATATTAGTGTACTCAACAAACAGAATGATCAATCTTTCTAAAGAACAGAGCAGTGATAAATTAGTAAAAACAGCATCTAACTTGAGATTCTTCTTTCAATTTGAACAAATTAGCTTAAAAGTGAGTTATAGTAAGATAGCTGTGCACACTGCAATTGTGAATTTCAAAACTTCCTAGAGTTTTAGTGACGAAAAGAGTTGTGGGCGTTAGGAAAACCAGTCACAGAGATGACCGCTTAATGAAGCGTATATTTACTGGTTCTCTGATAAGTTCCTTTAGAAAAAGACATGCTACTATGTTTCAGACATCAGTACAGAAATCAGTTCTCTGATTATTATCGTCCCATAATAACTTGTACTTTTAAGATCAACGAGTGGTTTATATGTAACTGATTTTTATTAAACGTAGAGAAAACAAAATTTATCCTACTCCATAAACCTAGTAAAGCCAATAATATTCCTCTTAAACTTAGTAATTAAAATGGAATTGGAATTCCTCTTAACATAATAATTAAAAAGGAATTGACTACAAACTTTCTAGGAATGCTTTTAGTGTAGAAATTCCATATTAAATATATCGAGATTGTCGTGGAAATTCCATATATTAAATATATAATAAAGTACGAAAGTAAGATCTCAAAAACTTTTCATGTTATATCGAACAAAACCTTTTCTTAATAATGAATTTTTAAAAAAACTATATTTTTTGTTCATATACAGCATAGGGTAGTACTAATCACACTAAACTCAAAAATATTTATAGCAAACAAAAACATGCTTGCCAGATAATATTTGAGATAAACAGAAATCCACAATACAAACCTCTCTTACCACAGCATTTAAAAGCTTAATATGTCAAGTCTATTTAAGTATTTAAAAGCTTAATTATTAAGTGATATTATTTATGTTTAAAATAAAATGTGAATTATCTCCAATAATATTTCAATTTTACTTTAATGAAATATCGCATGAATATTCTATTGAACTTTTAGCAGGGCCGACGACACCAGGGAGCCAGGGGTGCACGTGCCCCCCTCCTCCTTTTGTTTTTGTAAAGGCTTTTTTTTTTTTTTTTGAAAAGTAAGAAAAATCAAGATTTTTTTTTTTAAGAGTCGACTTTTTTTTAAGAATTGACGGTTGTGCCCTCTCACTTTGAAACCCGTGTCGTCGGCCCTGTTTAGAGATTAACTTTGTCATTCATATAGCCCATCTTAAATTAAGTTCGTACCAAATTCAATATCGGGAACCTTTTGTTTGAAAATATTTCCTTTATATTTTTAACGTAAACAAGAACTGTATTTCATTTTTGTTTGTGTTTTTGTTAATGTTTATTATTCAGCCCTATATACTTATTTAGATTGTCAGCAATAATTTATTTTATTGCTGAAATTATGTATGTATTTGTACTATTTTATTTATCATTTATTTACGTATGCAAGTTTTTAAAAAGGCGTTTAAAACAACCAATGCAACGGAGCTCAATGACAATTTATTTTCTTCTTGTTCAAAGATTTTATATTGTTGTAATTTCTATTTTGTAATTTTTAACAGACGGTATAATAATTAAAAAAAAAAAAATTACGAAAATATTAGCGTCTAAATATTAATGGATGCACCGGGAACGTTGCATCCGTTAATGTTTAAACATTTTTTAAATATGTCACCAGAAGTGAAAATATCAGCGGTTAACATAAAATAATCTTATCTCTATTCGAAAATAAATTAAAACATGATTAAAACATGCCAACCGTAATGAAAATGACAGCGGTTATATAATCTTATTATAAAAATGACAGCGGTTAAAAAGTCTTATCTCTATTCGAAAATAAATTTAAACATGATTAAAACATGCCACCTGTAATGAAAATGACAGCGGTTATATAATCTTATTATAAAAATGATAGAGGTTAAATAGCCTTATCTGTATTCGAAATAAATTTAAATATGCTACCCGTAATGAAAACGTCGGCGTTTATCCTTAAATAATGTTGTCTGTATCCAAAAATAAAACTATAACTATTTAAAGCTTTGATTAATAGTTGATCAGTTAATCTACAATCTTTAATTAATAGTTGGTGAGTTAATCTACAATCTTTTGTAAAACACTTAAGAGACTAATTAGAAGCCATATTTTAAGACAATTACACTGACTTTGCTAAGGTTCTATTTAATAAATTATTCTCACATACAACTAACAAAATGTAAGAGATATCTTTTGAATTAAACTGCTAATCTGTCCATTAACCTAAAAAATATATAAAATAAATATATTGTTGAATTTTAGCTAATTGAATTATAAATAAAAAAAAATATTTTAATATTTACAAATTTTGATCTTTGATTGAAAGTGAATTTAAAAATTTGTTCCTGAATAGCTCATTTTGTAAGAGCGTCAAACGAATGCGCTTGAGTAGCGTTTTTGTAGAGAAAAATATTGGTCTGCAACAGACACTGCTTTGGATTAGTCTTTATGACTATTTGTAGCTGTTCCTATGCTAAGCCAACAATCTTTAAATATATATATATATATATATATATATATATATATATATATATATATATATATATATATATATATATATATATATATATATATATATATATATATATATATATATATATTTTTAATTTGTTAGTTAGGTTCTCCAAGAAGACCTAACGGTATTGTCACAGAGCACCGCAGAAGTGCATTTAACCAGGAAGTTCTCGCCTCCTTCTTTACCGTGACGCGAAATATGTCCAAAGTTCGTTTCAAACCTGGATCTCCGTTCTAACCACTGCACCACGGCCGCAAATGATATGAGACCTTATATGCTCTTAAGAGTATTGTATAGATAAATGTAGCATTAAGTTCAAAAGAATAACAAAAAAGTAACTAAATAAAAAATTAAAAAAAAAAAGATATTATCATAGTTAATTAAATATAGCTTTAAATCTTTAGTATTGGATTTTACATTTTTTAATATTTAAGACAGTTCAACGAATCTAAAAACTATTTTTTTTCATAAAGGTAATTATTTTGTCCAACATCGGTTCGAGAATAAACATTTTTTTAAAAAAAAACAAGATTTTGTAGTACCAAAACCGAAACTCCTAAAAATTTTAAAACTTAAAATGTCTAAAAGTTTAAAAGATTATGATTATGTGTTTAAAATTTATAAATCCTTCTTTTTAAAGTCTTAAACAAAAAAAAAACACCTACGAAGTGGGATGTTTGTAAGAAAAACTGTGACTAAATACTTTATACTATATTTTTAATTTCAAAGCCTAATTTAACTTTCCTTTTTGCTTACTGTTTTTATATGATTTGTAGTTTCTATATGATTGTTTAAAAAAAAATTCGTTTCTTTTCATAATATTTTAACACTTACAACATCTGTAAAAGATTCTTGTGAAGTTAGATCTTCGATTTTTGTTTGATACGTGTTAGATTTTAAATAGAAACTCGAATTTAAAAAATATGTTTTTTTTTTATATAACATCAATAAAAACAATATTCTTTTTTTTTTATAAAGTTAAAAATGTGAGTGGATAATCAAAAATGAAATAAAAATATTCGGTAATTTTCTTGAAATTTTTGAAAGGTATTTTTTTTCTAAAATTTTCCTTAATGCATTTAGTTTTTACACATTACATATTTTTTCATATTACATATTTTTGTACTAGAATCGATTGAGTTAAGAATTTTTTTTTAAACATAGAACGTAGGTCTTATTTTAAAAAGTCTAGAATTTAGCACAAAAAAAATTGCAAAAATAATAATAGCCTTTATTCCAAGAAATATCTAATCTAAATTATTGTAGTATAAAAAATTATACCATCTAAGAATAATAATCTATGATATAAGAATAGATAATGAATAAATATATCTTTTTATAATTGTTCTATTTGTAATAGAATTTTATGATTGTTATTTTATTAAATATTAATTAATACTTAACATTTTAACTATTTAAAATTTCGTAAGTTTAATTAAGGAATTTAATTGACAACGTTCAAACTTTTTTTAATAAGTAATTATGGTTTTTATGGTAACTCAAATTATTTTTTTACCCAGGCTATTAAGGTTGTTCTTATAATTTTCATATTTAACTATTTTTTTTAAAAACATAATAAAAAATAATGGCAAAAAGTAATGAGCAATTAAACTAAAGTAAAAGTATAAATCTCAATATTATAAAGTATTATAAAATACTGTATTATAAAAGCTATAAAAGATGATTCTCGAGTTTCATTCTTTTTGTATTGCGTCAAAAAATATTTTCTTAAACAACGTTTTTGATAAGGGTGTGTTGTTTAATATTTATTTTTATTACTATATTTCTTTTGTTTAGTACTTTGTAAAAAAATAATGTTTTCTGCTCAAATAATTCTTTTGTTTTAAACTTTTTTTAGAAAATTAAATTAAATTGTTAATTGTTAAATTAGTTAAATGCTCGAACGTTACTTTTGTGTTATACTTTTTTATAAAATAAGTTGACTGCTCCAGAGTTTTTTCCTTTGTTTTTATTAATTATTCTTTTTCTTTATTATTATTATATTTCATACAAATTATTTTTATAAATTATGCGCAACAACGCACTGGAAGTTGTTCTAGTTGGTTACATAATTTTCAGTGTAATATCAAGTTAATTAGCGCATCTAAGGAAAAGACGCTTTTCTAAACTTTTTCATCAGGAAGATGAATCTGTTCGTGGAGAAACAAGTTAATCTTAGTAAATATATATATATATATATATATATATATATATATATATATATATATATATATATTGTATATATATATATATATATATATATATATATATATGTATATATATATATATATATATATATATATATATATATATATATATATATATATATATATATATATATATATATATATATATATATATATATATATATATACTATTTAAATATACATTTATGTCTGTGATGATTTTTTTTTTAGAACAAATAATGTGTAAATCTTTGTCCTGCCATGATACGCATAATATGACAACGCTATCTTGGTTCTCTTTTAGCTTTTCTATCGTATTATGTGTATGCACAGTATCTCTAAATGCTTTACTTATAGTAGCAGTATTTGGGAAAAGAAAAAAAGTGTTCAAAAAATCTATTTTTTATAAGCTGTTATTTAATATCACATTTGCTGATCTGCTAACTGGTATCATAACAGATGTTGGCTCTATATCATTTCATTTCAAAGAGGCTAAAAAAATAGTTATTAGTCGGAATGAAGTCTACTTAGTTCATGTAGGACTTTTTATGTTTAGTAATGTTTCTATTTTTTCAATGGCATTGATATGTGTAGATCGCATCATAGCATTAATAAAGCCAATCGAATACAGAAAAGGATTATCTGATCGTATTTGCATTTTGTTGTTAGTTTCAACTTGGTTTATCTCATTTTTGCTCGTGTTACCATATTTTTATATTAAATACGTTTGTTATCTGACTGTTTTTTCTTTTACTTTGGTTTTTGTAACTTTTATCGCACTGGTATTGATGGTTTATCTTTATAAAACAAGGTTTACATTGCTTTGTAATTTAGACAAGATGTCCTCCACATCAGTTGAATCTTATAAATCCAACCAAATAAACGACGCAATATCTAAAGAAAGAAGATTTCAAATTGATATATGGAACAAAAAGAAAAACTATGATTTGCAAAATGTTAGTCAACTAAACGAAAATGTTAGGCCTAAACAACCAATCAATCAACAGAGTTTTAGGTGCAGCGAAAATAAAACTAAAATAAAATCATATTCTGCAGAAAAACGAGTTAATCAATCTTTTATAATCATGCTCATTGTTTTTTTAGCAACTTACTTCCCGTCCTGTTGTGTAACTTTATACATAAACACTTGTGAACAATGTAACTGTAGTTTAATACATATCTTGAGAGACTTTACTTATTTATCTCTATTATCAAGCGCTTTGTGGAGATCAATAAATTTTGCAGTACGAATTATAACTTTAAAAAAAAGGATAAAGGAAATTATTAACCAAATAAAATGTGTTTTATTATGTTCGAGCGCATTCTAATAAGTTTTGCTTTTATATCACAATAAAAATGCAAGATGAGAATCCTTATTAAAACTGGTATATAGACTGATATATGGGCAGGTGGTAAACAATGGGATTGAACAGATGTCAACAAAAAGATTTTACTTTATAATTTTAAACTTGCCAATTATGTAAAAGGGAATTGAATTTGGGAAAAAATAATTTTAAAGCACAAAATGGAAAACAAGCATACAAACATAAAAAATAAAAAGCTTTATTTAAAAATAAAGATGAAAAGATAAAGATGTGACAGAATAAAAAGTTTTTTGCAAGTGGTTTTGTTGGTTTAAAAAATTTTTGTTTTAAAAAGTTATTAATGTGTTTTTGCCAACAAAATAAAGATATTAATAATTTTTTTTAACTAAATATAATATAATAATAATAAATATAATAATAAAGTTATTTTCATTTAGTAAATGTTTTCAACCTGTTTAGACAAAAATAAAAAAATTATGTGATAGGGGGTGATATTAAAAAAGTTTTTATTTTATTCTTAAAATTATTATTTACGCGTTACCCCTGTTTTGTATAATTTTATATTCAAAATGTGTTGATTTAAAATACGTTTGTTTTTAAACTACCAATGATGCCTTTTATTGCGATGTAAATCGAACTTTTTTTAGTTTTTAAATATAACAAAGCAAAAAAATTGTTACAAATACAAGAGTTTGGAGTTGTTCAAACTTCAAACTACTTTATAATCGTCAGATATTTAATTCTTAGAAAATGGAGCGTGGAATTTGGTACTTGGTAATCGGATCCTGGTAAATAAATACTAAAAGACAGTTATTTTTGTGTGAATTTTATTTTGAAGTGATTTTTGAAAAAAAAAAATTTATATTCTGAAAAATTTATTTTTTTTATATTGCAGAAGATTATTATTAGATTAAAATTGGAATTACAAAGAACAACTTTACATATAGAATATTTTCTGAATGGAAGTTTCCGAAATTTCCCGTACCATCCATGTTTATTTTTGACTTGAAAAAAATTAGTAACGTCGTGACATAACATATGCAGTGGTTTTTACCAGCTCTGTTTCACCAATTTTCTGTAGCAAATGTAACGAAATTAAGCTAAAATGCATCTGAGATAAAAAAAATAAATATTTAGTTATTAAACCTCTTGATTATTGTTAAGATGAATACCTCCTGCTAAAAAATTATATTAGCGTTAACTGTTTATAAAACTTATAAAAAAAATTCTTGCTGCAGGACTTTCATAACGAGAGATCAGCAACTCGCCATCAATAATTTCTAAAACATCAGAGTCCATTGATTTGTTGGCATTTAGGAAGGTAGATTGTCGTGATAAGAGCTTTTTAACTTTCATTAATTAAAATGGCGCACCCGACATTCGTTTATTATTTATTTATCAGTCGTTATGCTTTTAGTTGTTGTAAGGAAGTAAATCTTAAAAACGCATTTAATTTTAATTTAGTTATTTAGCCAATACAAACTTATTTCAAATCTATAAATGTTTACGTTTAATTAAGGTCGATTAAAGGTTTACAATATTGACTAACATAAGTCGATATTTTAAACGTTAGATCGACGCTTACTAAACTCATATATAAAAAAATTTGAAATATACATTTCAAATCAAGCGTCAACTTTGAGTCAATAATATGTCGTTAAACGTTTTATCCATTTTTTAACCGATTTTGACTAAATATTGACCAATTCTGAACCATCTGTGTTTACTGGGTTAGCTAGACTAATTACATTTAAGTACAGGTAATTATCGAAAATAAAATGAAAAGTATTTTTTAATGCAGAAAAACTTTAAAAAAATATAAGACTAATAAGTTTAAATTGCGGCTAGTGTGAACAGAGACTATAATATTTTATAATAATATCTAAAACATTGTCGTCAGTCGTGAAAACAAAGAAATACAACAGTTTTCAACCAATTTTAACCTCTGATCACAATTTTACTATCAAGAGTTTAAAAAAAAAATTTTTTTTCCAGACGATACTAAACTTTTTTCTAAAACTACATCGCAGACTAATTTTGTTGATCTGCAGGACTGTCTACCCTTACACGAGTGGTCAAACACTTGGTTACTTAAATTAAACATTTCAAAATGCTGTGTTATCCATTATGGTTAAACCAATCCTATGTATAGCTCCTTTTTGCAAAATAACCAAGGTATAAATGAAAGCCTAAGAAGTTCTATTAAAGAGCGCGATTTAGGAATCATTTTTACATCTAATCTCAAGTGGAGTACACATATTCAATCAGTTGTCTCCAAATCTTTACAAATTCTTGGTATGCTAAAAAGGACATTCACCATCGTTGATGAAAAAATGACTCTCAAATTATATAAAGTATTTATAAGACCACACCTTGAATATGCAGTGTCTGTTTGGGCCCCGTATTAAAAAACTGACGTAGCTTTGGTTGAATCTGTTCAACGTAAAGCAACAAAATGGGCTTTAAATTTAAGAAATACTATGAAAGACTTAAAAGACAAAATTTATCATCACTCGAGTTTCGGCGCCTACGATGCGATCTAATACAAATTTTTAAACTAATGCATCGATTTGATATAATTAATAATACATGTCAAACAAAATTTGTTAACTTATTGTCACGTGGTCATCATCTTAAAATAAGACGTGAATATGTTCCAAACTGTCTTCCAAGACACAATCAATTATATAATAGATCAGCAAAATACTGGAATGAACTACCCCCAAAGGACACGGACGAAAAAAAGGCATCTTTTAAACGTCTTATACACATTTTAGACGTCTTTTGAACGTTTTGGTCGTCTTTTGAACGTTCAAAAGACGTCTTTTTTTGGTCCGGTGCTCACTAGGCCGAGCCAGTTACTTTATACTCCACTGTACTTTCTTTCAATATTAGATTAGATAACTGGTTGAGGATAAAACTTGGAACGAATATTTATAAAACTGGTTGTTTATAGTAGGGAGTTTTCCCTGCTCGCTGTATGTATATATGGTATATTTTACAGCAAGGACGTATTTTTTACGACGTAAAAAAGACGTCCTTTGGACGTTCAATTAGCGTCCGTCCGTCCCATTTAAATTCTAAACGTCTTTTGAACGTCTTTTTTGCTTCCAATAAATTTTTCGTCCAAAAAAGATCCAGAATGCTTAATTAAATCAAAATTGAATTAGTTAAATCACGCAATCGTCAAAACTTATTTGTTTTTGTTAATTAAAAACGCATCTTTAATACAAATGTAGAAAAAACATTCAAGTGTAAAAGAACTTTTCAAATTTTTAAAATTTTTTTTTGGTATCTCGAAATAATAAATGAAGAGTGACTAATAGACAGGTTCTTGCTAATTTATATATATATTTTATACTTGATATACTATATTCTGAACCAGGTATATACGTATATATAGGTACGCGCATATCGTGATTAACGGAACCGATTTTTGTGCTAAAATTTTGTGACTCGCTTTTTTCATTTTTTTTTTAGGCAGCGTGGGGTAGACGTAGTTTTGTGGAGTTTCTTTTTAGAAACATATATACACATAGATACTTTTTGAAAAGAAGAGAAGCTCATCTTTATTTTTTTAAAACTTTTATGTATGGTTACTAAACTTTTTAACGGATTATTTTGCTCCTGAATATTTGGTTGATGTTTTGACATGAATTTGTAGTCAAAGGCATGAAGTTTCCGCTTTTTTGATTGTTCAGCCACCTTTATACATGTATTTTCTATTTATGTGCCAAATTTCAACGATAAATAATAGGGAGCAGATATGTTAAGAGGTGCTTTATTAAATATACTGCTTTTTTTAGGTAAGGTTAGACAAACGTTTTTAGTGGTGTTTTTTTTTAGAAACATATATAAACAAAAATTATATTTAAAAAGAAGAAAGGTTGGGCTTGATTTTTATTGTACTCTTATGTATTACCACTGAACTTTTTTATGGTTAGTTTTGCTAAAAACTTTCATGAAAATTTTGTTGATGTTCTCAAATTAAGTTGTTATTGAAGGAATGAAGTTTCCGCTTTTTTTGTTATTCAGACACTTTTTTGCATGCATTTTCTTTGCACATGCCAAATTTCACCAAAAAATATTAGGGAGCAGATAGTATAAGAAGTGTAGGACTTTTGGTACCTAAATTCGGTTTTTTTTGTTTTCGTTTTATAGGTAAGAGAAATACGGGAGGATAGGGGGGTGGCGAATGGTAAGCAAAAAAAATATTACTACATTGTATTATTTTATTTTTTAATATTAGATTATTTTAATAAATAAAAATGGTAAAAGTCATGGCAAAGAAGACTTAAAAAAGTAAATTAATTTGTTTTTCATGATAATAATAATTTTTTTTAAAAAACAAAACAATGATAGGTTTAAAAACCTTAATCTTTGTTTACATCGTGACGATGTAAACAAAGATTAAGGTTTTTAAACCTATCATTATTGTTTTGTTTTTTAAAAAATTTATAAGTTTAAAAACCTTAATCTTTGTTTACAAGTCATCTAATACATGAAATGTAAACAAAGATTAAGGTTTTTAAACTTATACCAATGATGGTATATATTAAAAAAGATTAGGATTTAAGATTAAACCGTTACTTTGGAATATTTTATTAACTAATTATTAGTTAATAAAATATTCCAAAATAACAACATTGGCATCTGATACTATTAGTCTAATAGTATCAGATGCCAATGTTGTTAATACACCATATATATATATACATATATATATATATATATATATATATATATATATATATATATATATATATATATATATATATATATATATATATATATATATATATATATATATATATATATATATATATATATGTATATATATATATATATATATATATATATATATATATATATATATATATATATATATATATATATATATAAATATACAAATGACATTATTATACTTTAAAGTAAAACTTTATTGGCTTAAGCCAATACAGTTTTTGACAAAATGTTTTTAGAATAATATTATTATTGATATTTTTAGAATTATTATATATATATAAACATTACATATAAACATTTTATTTTTAGAATAATATCATAATTTTATTGATATTTTCAGAATAATATTGTTATTGATATTTTAGAATAATATTATTATTGATATTTTTAGAATTATTATATATATATAAACATTATATATAAACATTTTATTTTTAGAATAATATTATAATTTTATTGATATTTTCAGAATAATATTGTTATTGATATTTTAGAATAATATTATTATTGATATTTTTACAAGAACAAGCTTATTATTAATAAGCTT